CTCTCTCTCTCTCTCTCTCTCTCTCTCTCTCTCTCTCTCTCTCATATGACAGTTGTGTTCGCGCGCTTCTCCAGATGGATTCTGATGGTTCTGATCCATCTTTAGACCGAACTGTGTGCAGGGGGTGACGGACTTTCCCTCTGGATCTGACACCCTGAAGTCTGTGTTTAGGGTCTGAGCTGCTGAGGATCAGGACCAGGATCAGGACCAGGACGTCAGAGGGGAGGGTCTCGCTCTTCTTAATAAGTTATTTACCTGGAGTCCAAAGTGCAGATATAACATTGTTTATTTTATTTCTTTCTTGGAAGCTGATCCTTCAACCTTCAAGATTTCCCCTAAAAGCAGGCAGCAGGACCGTCCTGCGCTCCCGCGGCTGGTCTGCAGGAAGCGGCTGGTGGCGGCGGGGGTCCTGGGGGTCGTGATGGTTCTGCTCTTGGTCGTTCTCATCCCAGTTTTAGTCAGCTCAGGGGGGACAGGTGCGCACTACGAGATGCTCGGAACTTGTAGGATGCTGTGCGACCCGTACGGAACCAGATCTCCGAGCACCACGGCCACGGTGGACCCGCTCCCAGACGGCAGCCTCGCGCAGTCTTTACCCACTTTTATCCAAGGACCGAAAGGGGAGACGGGTCGGCCAGGAAAGATGGGTCCGAGAGGGGCTCCGGGTGAGCCGGGACCGCCCGGTCCAGCCGGTCCACCTGGGGAGAGAGGTGAACCGGGTAGACCCGGTTTACCCGGACCCCCGGGACCCAGCGCGGCCGCGGGCGCCATCAGCGCGGCCACCTACAGCACCGTGCCCAAGATCGCCTTTTACGCAGGGCTGAAGAAGCAGCACGAGGGCTACGAAGTGCTGAAGTTTGATGACGTGGTGACCAACCTGGGGAACCACTACGACCCCACCACCGGGAAATTCACCTGCTCCATCCCAGGGATCTATTTCTTCACCTACCATGTTCTGATGCGCGGAGGAGACGGAACCAGCATGTGGGCCGACCTGTGCAAAAACAACCAGGTATCACAAACACAAGCTTGAGCTAAACTCAGACTTTTTATTTTATTTTTTATTTTATTTTTCTTTTCCTTTACTTAGTTCGATAAATATCTGAGCCGGTATGAGGAGAAGGTTTGGGTTCATGGTGTGTTTAGGACAAAAGTGACTTGAGGAAGGGGATTCATGTTTCTGCTGGATAATTGATTATTCCGTTGAGGAATGTGCACACTTTAGTTTAATTGCTAAAATATAAAACAATGAGACATTAAAACTTTACAACAAAAGTTTCAGTGGCTCCACAAATATGAGACTTTATTCTATGATTTATGCAGCTGAATGTTTCTGATTTGACAAAGATTTTCTCATCAGTTACTAGAAGTTTGGTAACATATTTTTTTCATTAACTATCAATATTTTGTTATTAACCTTTATTCAACCAAATCCCATTGAGATCACAGATCACTTTTGTAAGGGAGGCCTGTGCCTGAAGGCAACATATACTCAAGTTTTTTTCTGTGGGAATAAAACCAGAGAAAATCAACACAAGCATGAGGACAACATTGAAAAACAGGGGTGGCACACCAAAACCAAAAAATATGGTGCTGTTGTCGTACTAATGACTATTTAAAAACTATGGGATTTACCAACAGATGTTATTTTACCCTCTCTCTGGGCTGCCACCTTATTGTGGTGGAGAGGTTTGAGTGAATGATAGGAGCTATGTTGTCAGAGGCTTCGTGGCCCTGGGTCACGCAAGGCAAACAGGTCTATGAGGGATCAGACAAAGTGAAGCCCAAAGACTCCTCAAGATGAATACAATCAATGTATTTAGTGTTCCCCTGCCCACTGATGTGGGTCACCGGGGCCCCACTTTGGAGCCAGGCCTGGAGTTGGGGCACATTGGTGAGCATCTGGTGGTCAGGCTTTGCCTATGAAGCCCGGCCAGGCACAGCCTGAAGATGAAGAGCCTGGGGACCCTGGGTTGGACTCACCAATCTCTGGTGCTGAGGTCATAAGGGGGTTATAAAGCATTCAAGGAGTTGAGGGGATCCGTTTTGGTGACCTTAGGATCACATCTCTGCTTTTTGTGGATGATGTGGTCCTATTGGCTCCATCAGATCATGATCTCCAGTTCTCACTGGAGCGGTTCACAGCTGAGTGTGAAGCGGCCAGGATGAGGATCAGTGCCTCCAAATCTGAGACCATGGTCTTGAGCCGGAAAAGGGTAGGGTGCCTTCTCCGGGTCGGGGAGGAGGTCCTGCCCCAAGTGGAGGARTTTAAGTATCTCGGGGTCTTGTTCACGAATGAGGGAAGAATGGAGTGGGAGATCGACAGGCGGGTTGGTGCTGCATCTGCAGTGATGCGAGCGCTGTACTGGTCTGTCGTGGTGAAGCGATAGCTGAGCCAGAAGGCAAAGCTATCATCGGTCAGTCTACGTTCCTACCTTCATTTATGGTCACGAGCTTTGGGTAGTGACCAAAAGAACGAGATCGCAGATACAAGCGGCCGAAATGAGTTTCGTCTGCAGGGTGTCTGGGCTCTCCCTTAGAGATAGGGTGAGAAGTTCAGTCATCCAGGAGGGACTCAGAGTAGAGCCGCTGCTCCTCCACATCGAGAGGAGCCAGTTGAGGTGGCTCAGGCATCTGGTTAGGATGCCTTCTGGTTGCCTACCTGGTGAGGTGTTCCGGGCACGTCCCACTGGGAGGAGGCCCAGAGGAAGACCCAGGACACGCTGGAGGGACTATGTTTCTCAGCTGGCCTGGGAACACCTTGGGATTCCCCCAGATGAGCTGGCCCAAGTGTCTGGGGAGAGGGAGAGGGAAAAACCTCTCTGCTTAGGCTGCTGCCCCCGAGACCTGACCCCGGATAAGTGGAAGAGGATGGATGGATGGATGGATGGATGGATGGATGGATGGATGGATGGATGGATGGATGTTATTTTACAGATGTCATTACTGATCATGTGACGTCCACAAACAAGAAACAAAAACAGGCAGAAATTAGATTTTCACAAGTTTAGTTTTTCTGTTCTGTATCTTTACACGTGGATTGCCGTAAATTGTTTTTATTAGGATTTTTCAGGGGTAGGCTATCAGACATTTTCATTATGTTGGGCGGAACACAATTTCAGGAATTTTTATTGAAGTAGATGCCATTTTGTATTTTAACAGGTTGTTAAACACCTACTTTTACCTACATCAGTAAACACCTGGAATGAGAAGTGGAATTAAATTGTTTGTGAAGCAATAGAAACAGTGCTGAACTAATACTGTATTTTTTTTTTTTGGTAAATGGGGAGTGTCCAAACAAATTTTATTGTAAATGTAAGGAGGACACTTCCCCTTCAGAAACATATCATGACAGCTGTCTTCTTTTCTAAAAACAGTCAAAATACACATTTTAAAAACATTTACAAGACATGAATTCTCAATTTTAAAGCTACCACATTTTCTAAAAAAGAATGTCAACTATTTTATTTGCTTGTTGACTTTGTGAACAAAAACTAATTAAAAGTACAAAAAACTGGAAATAAAAAGACTAAAAAGATTGCAAACTATATTTATTGCAACGTAATCACAACCTATTCCTTTATTTACTTTTTCATGCCATATTACCTTTAATAAAGATAGTTTTGGTCTGTGAGAGAAAGCTGGAGAAAACCCACTCTTGCATGGGGAGAAGATGTAAACACAACCCAGGCTAGGATTTGATCTAGCAACCTTCTTGCTAAAAGGCAACATGCTAACTGTGCCACTGTGCTGCCTAATTTTGTATTTAATATATACTATTTTCTAATTAAAAATATATTCATGCATATAACATGAGAACATGCATTTTAGCGTTGAGGACATTGGTTTTAACCTGTTTCTTGTTTCAAAGGGACTAGATTTGTAGTTTTAATTTTATTTTAAAAGAAAATGTATATTTATATTTTTAACTCGTAAAAGGAAAAAAACAATGTTTGTATTTATATTTATATTTATGAGGGTCTGATAATCCTAAATAGGGGAAAATGAAAAATGAGCCCAAAAGAAGAGCTTGGGACTCAAGAGGATAAAACTAAATTTACTTAATATAAGATCCTAAATTTATACATCATATGTATGCTCCACACCCCAACCCCCCCACTCGTGGCACCCCTGCAAGCAGCACCTCAGTAGTGTTTAAGGTTACAGCAGTATTCATCCCTCTTTCTTCATTTAAAAATCTTTATTTAAATAATAATTCTACAAAAGTACTTTAGAATTATGAAGCTAAATGGGTAAAAAAAACGTTTTAAATAAACTGTAAAGTGGTGCATGCACAAGTGTCCTCTGTTTCAGGGCCACTCTTCCACGAAACCTCGCTCTGTGCAGAATATTCTGTAGGAAAATTGGTTTACTGTTTTTTTCTGTGTTTTTTTTTAAATTCTGCATTTTATGATGAAACCACATTTTTTTAAATCAAAAAGTGTTTTTATTATGGACAAATTGGATAAAAAATAAAATACATTGTTTCCACGTTTGATGCGAGTCACGTTTCCTGTGATTTTAGAACGTTTTAAACACGATAAATTCATGTGGTGGGGGGAAAAAAAGGCCGCAATTTAATTTATTATAGTGCAGATCACTCTTACAGTAATGGATAACACTGTTGAAGTGGCCAACATGGACAAGAGACTGCAGTCCAGACAATGGAGGTCTTCTGAAGGCCAACATTGGAATTTTTCATTTACAGCAACTGATAATCCATTATCACAGTGAGAGTTGCACGTGCAACACAAAAGGCGTGTGGCCATAACAGCAACACAACATGATGTGTAAACACTGCTGTAAGAACCACAGCAACAGAATATGATGCAGTGTTGCATGAGACAACAGCGTTAGCAGCCTATGCAACCAGGTGCTAGCAACCTTAATCAAACTGACTGTTAACATATATGTGGTGCAAATCAGCAACTCACATTCAAGTTATGTCAATAGAGAATAAATTATAGAATAATCAAACAGTAAAATGCCTCAGCCACGTTGTGATTAACAGAATGTGTTTAAAACAGACCAGTAGGAAATGGTCAGCTTGTTCTTCTCTCAGTCTCAGAAGCAAACAGTGATACTTGCTTATAACAATCACAGCTCAGGCTACCTGGACCTGGAACTTTACCTGATTCTATTCTTTTAAATGCTAAAAGAATCTTCGCTGTAGTGATCCGACTCACATTTTTGAGCATCAGGAAGAGTTAAACTCCTCAGAAAGGATAACATATTCTCTGACACTTTAGGTGACTGATCAGCTTAAAAGCCTGGCTACTTTCACAAGATACTTTTGCTATCTTAGTGATGCCATTAGCCTTCTGAATGGGAGACATCAGCTGAAGATTTATCTTAACTTTAGTCAGAGGAGTTAGGTGTCCTTACAGCTTCTGCTTTGAGTTAGGACTTGGTTCACACAGCAGGTCTTATTGTTAAATTCAGTTTTTTTTTTGTATTTTTTTTTTGCTCAGGTTCAATTTTGTTTTTGATCGCTCACATTCTAATTTAAATATGACTCTCATCTGACTACAGAACAGTCCCTGAAACAACCTATAAGAAGACGTGACGTCACACACAGCACACTGTGTTTACAGATGTAAGCATGGATGCTGCACACGTTAGCATGCATGAATTGATCTTGAAGTTGTGCAATCGGAATGACTAAATTTTCATATGCTGTGCCCGTTTCATCCAGTGTTTATGTTTCTGTCTACTGAGGTGGAGAATTGCACTTCTTGAACAATAGCAATCTATCGAAAGTAAAATCAAAGTCAAGGATCATTCCCAACATGCAAGTGTCAATACGGATACTAGAAAGTTTAAAAAAGACGAAGCAACCGAACTTCTGTTTTGTAGATGAAGATGTGCAGAGATCCAAGCTTTACACAGTATGACAGTGGTACTGATTGCATCAATATGTGGGTTGATATGTATGCTCTGATCTCAACGATGTAAAAGTTGTGATGACCTGGTCCTTCAAACTGAGGTCACTGTGAAAAGCATTCAATATGCATCTGATTTAGTTCCACAAATGAAAAAAAGACCTGAGTTGGATTTAAAAAAGCATATTTGTTATGTTCAAATAGGGTCACATATGAACAAAAAACATAATGCAAAAACTACCAACATCATTTTAAACAAGTTCCAGTCTACCTGCGCTGCTTGTTTAACTGAGGGACAACAGAATGAGAGTAAAGAATCTGATCTGTTGTGTTTCCTCTGTGACAATGGCCTTTCCTCTGTCTTTGTGCTGATCAGGTTTTCAACATCACATCTAATCTGTGAGGCAAAGCAGTGCTGCAGCTCTGCTTCACTAAGCACATCCTCTCCTGTCTGTCAGCTGCTAACTGTACCACTGCTGCAAACATCCCTGAGATTACACCAGCAGAGTGGCACTACGCTTGAGATCACGTCCCTTAACATGCTCGCGCTTTTAGGCTGGAGAAACAAAACAAGTTGGTTCAAGTAAGAATTTTAAAAAATGCTCAGACTGCTTTTGGTTTTTTTTAGGGCTGTGAAATTAATCGAGTTAACTCTGATTAATTTTAGTGCTGCATGGGCATAGATTAAAAATTTTTAATCGCGATTAAAATTTACAATCACTTTACTATGGCTGAATATATAAGTTTGTATATTGCAATGTACTCGGTGCATGCCAGGTCATGTTTGTAAATGAGAAGTGGTTCTCAAACAGTTTGCCTGGATAAATAAAGGTTAAATAAATGAAATAAAAAACCTCCATGTGTAACACATTATGTACAGGTTTTTTTTCTTTTTGTCTTCTTATGGCTTATTTTTATTTATTTAAGTTTTGCTGACAACTTTGACCTTAGTATCTATCTTTCATTCCTCATGTAGTACTCATTTGGAATGAAAATCCTTGAATTCTTGATTTAACCTCATTATTCTGCACAAAATTTAACTGACTCATATATGTTTGGAGCATTGTTTAGGTCCTGTTTTATATTCAAAAAATCATGTCTAAGCATCAGTTCTGTTTTCTAAAGACATTAAAGACTAATTAACTCAATTAATTTATTTTATCAATATGCAACATAAATGTATATTAAATTTAAGATTATTCATGATTAATTCACAGCTACTTTGGGATTAATCAGATTAGAAATATTAATCATTAGACAGCCCTAGTTTTTTTTAGAAGCAAATACTCAATTGTATGTAGGAATGTGTTGATATTCGAACGTTTAGTTTACAATTTATCTTTAAATTTTAATTGTATTGAAATATCAGATTTTTTTTTCTCCGCACCACTAGCACTGCAGTGACTTGTGCTGTGTTGCTTACTTAACAACTTCGTTATTATATTTAGCAAGTATTTCAATCATTTTGGTTTGAAAAAGCCACCAGCAAAATAAATAAATAAATAAAAACTAAAACATAGTAAACATATTAAATGCTGAAACTAAAAATGTATGCCTGTGCTGCTATCCATCAGTCTTCACAACGAGCCAGTTAACAACCAGCTAAACTCCTTTTCATCCTGTACCTCCAAGGAACAACTTGTCTGTTCAGTCTTTTAAATCTCGCTTATAAACTCACTTTTTTTACACTGGCTTTTAATTCAAGTTTAGTTTGAGCTACCTCAGGAATTTGTAATTTGTGCCTTTTTATTTGTTTTTGGCATGTTATTAGTTTTATTAAATTGTGTCTGTGAAGCACTTTGGTCAAAACTGTTGTTTTTAAATGTGCCATATAAATAAAGTGATGATGATGATGATGATGATGAAGAAGGAACAGGACTGTGTTGTATTTTGCAAACAGGTAGGTACATCACATAGTGTGTTAACATAACAGCTTCATTAAAAAGTACAGCATAAAAGACTCTTAAGCTAACAACGTAAAAGCTACTGCTAAGGCTGCTGAAACTGCTGTTTACATCTTGCCACTGCTAAAACATGGATACATCATGTTTTACGCACTTCTATGACAGAAAAATGTGCAACTCCCAAATAAAAAAAACTGCCATGTCAAATCAACCACTAGATGGTACTGATTCTAAATGTCCAACATTAAACTTTTTCCAACAAACTGTCTCTCCTGACAGTCTCTTGACTTCAACCAATTGCACAGCTCCGTCACTGCTTAGAAAAGTTTTCATAATGTCTCCCATTGGCCACTCATATTTTTGCTGATGATCATTCTTGAGAACATCTCCCTCTCTGAGAATTGTGCTTTCCAGGATGCTAAGATGTTACCTGTGCCGAGTCCAGAAACTTGAACCCTTTTTGTACTGCTGGTCCAGTAGAAAATGGTGGTGAGAATCCAGGTGGAGTCACATTGACCTGGCAGCTCTTTCAAAGGACACCACTGCCCATTCCATGTTGAGGTTCCCTCTGGCAACACTCCAATGTGCTTTCAGAGAACATTAATCAGTGCTGTATTAAACGTCGCTGCTCTGACATGTTGCTGTTAGTCAATTTGCTGATGAGTCACAAAATGCCCCTTTTTACATTGCAGAGATCAAAATATGTCCAAGTACATATTTTTAAGGTTTTAAGTTTCATACTATCCTGACTTACCACAGCTGTATCCACACCTCTGCGCACTTTTAGCCAGACTTTTTGCCAATTAAGTTTGTAACCAATTCATTTACTTTTCTGCATGAAGCTCACATAGTAAATGGACTGAACTTATATAGCGCTTTTAAGTGCTTCCAGACCCCAAAGGGCTTTACATTACAGACATTCACCCATTCACACACACATATTCACACACTGATGATGGTAAGCTACATTGTAGCCACAGCTACCCTGGAGCACATGTTTTAGTAAAAAAAAAAAGCACATTAAAAGTTTAAATCTGGTGGTTTGACTTAAGAAACCTATGGCTGTTTGGGCCCCAAAGATCTCAGTCAGCACTACACCAGCCCACCTGTTCAGGAGTTGGTAACGATTCTGTCAGTACCTCACTCCGAGGTATAGAAGTGCAACAGAGAGGGGTGTCTCTGTCCCCTCTCTCCACCTCCATTAACCTTTGAACGAACGTGGTTAGAACTCGGGTCAGTAACGGTACGGGGCATCTTCTGTAAGAGCCTTGAGTAAAAAGAACGGTGGGTGTCAAGATGAGTGGTGTATCAGGAGAGCTATGCCCTTTTTCCACTAGGGCCACTTAGTGTAGTGTCAKTACGGTCAGTGTTGGAACGGGTCAGTTCAGGTGCTTTTCCATTGACATTCCAGTCCGGTTCCAGTGGGTGTGTTTTGAGCAGTTGGTGGGGGTGGTTTTGGGGTTTTTCGAAAAAAAAAAGTTAATGTGCAAAATGCGAGATGGAAACACATTTGCCGAATAAGTTCTGAAATAAAAAAATCGCTAAAAATTCAAATTAAAATTGGATGGAAACACGACTGATGTCGCTGCTACAGTTGAAAAAATGGCGCCTGGAGTTGTTGTAAAGGCAGCTCAGATGCAACCAGTGACTCCACCCCCAGCCAGTCAGGGACGAACAGTGTTCTGATGTTGCATTTTGGTGTCGACTGGGACCGCTGGGAACCACAACAAAGTAGGTACTAAAAAAAGGGCTGGTTCCATGAATCTGTCCTAATGGAGATGGCTTGGAACAGTACTGAACGTACAGACACTACACTAAGTGGAACTAGTGGAAAAGGGCCAAACGGGTACTTTCGAGTTAAACATGAAAATAGATAATTTTTCATGCTTGCTAATTCTGTAACCATTTTCACTTGTTTGGGTGCTCCACCAAAGTTGGTCCTGGTTGGGAGTTCTGAAACTGGTTGTCTGCAGTTACTGTATTTGGGCAGCACGATGGCTCAGTGGTTAGCACTAATGCCACACTGCAAGAAGGTCCTGGGTTTGATCCCCGGTTCTGGGGTCTTTCTGTGCAGAGTTTGCGTGTTCTCCTCATACTCAAATGGGTTTTCTCCAGGTACTCTGGTTTCCTCCCACAGACCAAAAAACATGTACAATAGGTTGCCTTCAGGCCCAGGCCACCCTTGCAAAAGAGTTTTGTAACTAAAATTTACATGATACACATAAAATCTGCAGCTTTGATTACATCTATAGATTTTGATTTGATCAAATTTCAAGTCTAGTTCTTTCACTAAGGTATGAAACCTTCACAGCTAGGACAGCAGCTCAGAGCTCAAGCTCCGACACCGAGGCCAACTTAGCTGTATTGAACACAAAACCTTCTGTCACATGGTTATCTTTGTTACTTTCAGGTAAGGAACTGTTGCTATGGTTTTCACTGGAGCATCTAAAAATATGCCTAAAAAATGATAAAAGAGGTCTTGCAGCGAGTATTTCCATTTTCTCCGGTTCTCAAGTATGTTTTGATGAACAGGAGCAACTCATTCTGGAAAGCTTATTAAAGCGTGTTTCCCTGAACAGTTACTGAAGCCATAAATCTCTAAGGATAAAACCACACGTGTAGGGGTTGTCCAGTTAGGCTGGTCCTAAGTTTCATAGAGTAATTCACTACACACGTAAAAGTTAATAATACACTATGGCATGAGAAATATTTCAAATTTTCTGGAAAATGAGCAAGGTGTCCGACACAAGGTTCCAACTTAGTCCACTTCTGCATTGAACAGGAAGCTCATCTCCACACAGATCCAAGTTCTGATGGTCTTTTGCATTCGAGATAAGTGTTGAAGCAAACCGAACGTGATGACGCAAACACAGCCTCTGTGTCTGTTTGACCCCATATCCCTGCAGGTGCGTGCCAGTGCCATCGCCCAGGAYGCAGATCAGAATTACGACTATGCCAGCAACAGTGCCGTGCTGCATCTAGAGCCAGGAGATGAGGTCTACATTAAACTAGACGGAGGCAAAGCTCACGGAGGCAACAACAACAAGTACAGCACCTTCTCTGGTTTCATCATCTATGCCGATTAGACGCCGTCTGCAACCACGACACTGACTGTCCTGCTGTTTCAGGCCTTGTGTTCCAGTAGAAATCTACTATTTGAAATCTGTGTGTAGTATCTAATAACAACTTGTGCGTTCGTTTATTTTCTACTGATTTCTGGGGACTTTATTGTCAGTAAAAACTATTTTTAACATTTAAACAAAGAAAGGAAATGAAGAAAATCAACAGCAGTGCAACGACTCATATCAATTAATCTGTAATAAAGGTTTAGATTTTATCACCCTATACTTGTTTACTCAAAGTGCATTCCACGTGACGCACTGAATCGCAGCACAAAAGCATTTTAATGTGGTTTAAGATTCTCATAGTTGGGTGAGTTGGGTGACATGTATGATTATGTGATAAAAACCAAACARAATCAAACCAGATGTGCACATTCAATGGGACATCTAATGGTCCACTGTTTTGTACCAGTCCAGATGTTCATGTAGATGTTACATTCTGGTTTCCAACAGCTGCCAGAACATGAAAAAAAGTTAAAGCTGATTTATAGGATTCAGTATAAATGTTGTAATGATTATTTGTTGGTCTGTCTCTCCCCATGAGCACACACACTCAGATCATAGCCATCCACAGGTAGGAACAGGTGAGAAAACAACACACACATTAAACTCAACAGGGGAGCAATGTAGCAACAGACACTCTTACAGTCCAAGAAAGAAAAACAAAAGAAAATGAAAAAAAAAGTTATAGTTTGGATTAGATAAAAATTAAACACAGGAAACATTATATTGGTTATATTTTATATGACCCAACAAATCAAAGTGAGGATTAAGTCAAATTTGATCAAATCAACATAATTGTTGTCCTTAAAATACAAAAATTCAAATAAAGCATCTTTATATTTAGGAAACCTGACAYAATACACCAGATTTGACCAATTTTGTCACATGTCATATGTTCTTTTGGACTTGGCTCAGCCAAAGTGAAACAGGAAGTGACATCAAAGAAAAGGAACTTCCTGGTCTTTGTTTATCAAAACAATATTTTTTTTTAGCTCTGACTCTTCTTCATTTCTCTCTGATAGAGACTCAAAATAATCTAAAGAAACATCCGACTCTTCTCTACAGCCTGTGTTATTGTAGCAACATTGTTTACATGCAGACATTCCTCTTTGACATCACTTCCTGTTACTTCACATGCTAATATTTTAACAACTGTTCATCTCAGCGGGGTGATATTGTTATTTAATTTATTTTTCAACATGTTATCAATGTTATCTTTCCAAAAATGTGTTTATATTTGTTACCAAAATTTGACATCACAGGCACTTTAAAGCTACATTTTGATACCTGGATGACATCATGAGTGTTTCCAGAGATCTGCCTTCATCTTCCTAATCAGGATAAATCATTGGTATAAGGCCTGAATGCTATTTTTTAGGTGATTCTAATAAGGAAATTTTTTATGTTGTCATAAAGAAGAAGCCTCAAATAATTTTTGGGTTTAGTAGCTGTCATAAAAAAAGTATTGCTATAGCTCACAGGAGAAATGACAAAAAAAAATAAAAACAATTTTTTGTTGCTCAAAATCATTTTTTTGTAGATACTGCATAAAAAGTGCTTCAAATAAATTCTTGAATATTGTATTTCAGATTTTTCATTTAAACAACCCATAGGTAATGTATTTAATCATTGTATTTTGACAAAATAAAAGTGTTGCAAATGTTTTAACTATTGCACCATAGCTGCCTGTTTCTCCACAGATCACTTTGTGATTTAATCCTCAGTTAGATGTGACGGGTCGTAAATGTACTCTTGAACAAGTTGAGCAATTCATTCTCTCTAACCGTTTTATTAATCAAGTGTAAACATGCCTTATTTTGTATTTGCATAATAAATTAGCAGGCGTTTTTATTTCATTTAAGAGYTTGTTTGAAAAGATTATTTTAGTCCTTTGTTCATCGCAGGAGAGACGTCCTGTAAAAAAGTAACTTTTACTCAAAGTTAATTTTTAATAATTTACTTTTTATTTGTTTTTACAAGAGATTTGTATACAAGTAACTTTATGTGAACTTGAGTAAAACKTGAGTGCAATATTTTAATTCTTATTCTTTGACTGGTTAAAGCCCAGAACCTGACCCAGCTGAGAGTCTCTGATTTAAAGTTGTTCACAAGCAGCARCCATCCAATGTAAAATAACTGCAGTGGTTTGGTTGTAAATTTAAAAAATGCAGGTTAGATAGACAGAGATCAAACAGACTGATCTGAAGATCTGCTGCAGAAGGTGGTGATACAATGTCTCATATATAACATGTTTTTTGTTTCATTTGCTAACATAGCTCTAACACATTTATAACTATGATTTTTGTTTTTTACTGCATATAACTGTAATTTAACTGTGGTCCAAACTGAAA